CAGGGTGGGTGGGGGGGGGGCAATGTAGGGAGAGAAGTGGACACTGGTGAAGGGATTGGTGTTGAAATATTGTGTGACCCAAATTGTCTACTGTTGCCATTTCAGCAGATCTGAGTGTTGGGGTAAAATCTCAAATAATAATGGTGGGTCTGGTGTTGAAATATTGAATGTGATCAAAGTAGAGAGAGAGTAATGTGGAAATCATCTGCTCCACAGGTAGGGGGAGGGTGTGGGATGGGGGTATATTGGGGTTTTTGGTGGTGGAGAATGGGCACTGGTGAAGGTACGGGTGTTTCATTGTATGACCAAGACTTAGACCCGAAAGCTTTGTAACTGCTCTCATGGTGATTCAATAAATAAAATTATAAAAAATGAAAAAAAAGTAAGGTGGAGTTCATGCACAATTCAATCAGCTAATCAGTGGCTGAATAAATAGCAGTACTCCTACATTAAAAAAAAAAAAGAAATATTGTGTGACTAAAACCCAGTCGTGAATAACTTTGTTATTTCATGGAGACTAAATTTTTAAAAAATATATGTTCATCATAAATGAGTATTATGCTGCCAACAGAAATGCAGGAAATGCTTATTAGAATTATGTCCACAAGAAACCATGATTAGTAGTATTGTAAACCAAAAAAGGAAAAGTTAATAAATATAAAAAAGAAAGCAGGAAGTGTTCCTTTTTGCAACAGCATGGATGAAATGTAATGAGGGTCTTATGTTAAGTAAGATAAGTCAGACAAAGAAAAAAGAAAAATTCTGTATGATTTCAGTTTTATGTGATGTTACAATGATTGAATTTGTGGAAACAGCAGTTATCAGGGCAAGCAAGTGGTGTCAGGGGGTGTTGAGGGAGATAGTCTTTAAAGCACACCAACTTACAATTAGTAATTATATAAATTTTGAAGATATAAGTTACTACCCAATTATTATAGTATTAAAATATAATTCTGTAAACTTCAAAGTTGCCAAGAGACTAGATTTTAAACTGCTCTAACACAGAAAATAATAAGGTAGCGCAAGTGTTTGCTAACCCTACTCTCTTTGTCATACTGTAATATACAAGTACACTCCAAAGAACATCACAACTTAATTTAAAATTATTGTTTAGGGGCCAGAGAGATAGAACAGCAGGTAAGGCATTTGCCTTGCACACAGCTGACCCAGGTTCAATCTCTGGCATCCCATATGGTCCCCCAAGCACCGCCAGGGGTAATTGCTGAGTGCAGAGTCAGGAGTAACCCCAGAGCATCACTGGGTGTGGCCCCAAAATAAAATAAAATAAAATGATAGTTAGCCAGAGTTCCCCAAACTTACTTGGCCTAGTACCCCCTTTTTAGAAAAAAAATAATTCTGTGTTCTGTCCCGCTCCCTTTCCACCCCACAAATATACCTCTTTTAAGTGAACAAACTTTGAGCAAATTAATTGTACTTAAGGCAAATACTGCCCTTCTGGATCATTCTAGCACCTCCGGGAGGATGGCGGTGTCACCCATTTTAGGAAACACTGTTTTAGGCAAATCAGGGTTGAAACTCATGGCTCTGCACATGGCAGATTTTCTAGGTCTAACTGCATGTAAAACGAGGGTGTGCCAGGAACTTTGCAGTCTTAGAAAAATTAACTAAAATCTATTATAAAATTATATTAAAAATAAAAATTTGAACAACCAAAAGCCAAAGAAAAAAGAATGGACGAAAGAAAGAAAGAAAGAAAGAAAGAAAGAAAGAAAGAAAGAAAGGAAGGAAGGAAGGGAGGGAAGAAAGAAAGAAAGAAAGAAAGAAAGAAAGAAAGAAAGAAAGAAAGAAAGAAGGAAGAGGTTGTATAAAATATCCAGTCCAACACATGACAACCAAAAGGCTAAACAGATTAAGTAGGTTAAGTAAATTACTGAACTGGCACTGCCACGGTAGAATTCTTAGAATGAGTGGACCAAAAATAGAAGATCCTTTGTCCCATTACCAATTCCTAACATCACACCAACTGCCCAGAGCATTCTGCAGCCTCTAATTCAATTTATTACTATGGAAACGGATGTTTCAATTTACTAAACCCAACTGTATAATAAATAAAAGTACCTCAGAGGATCATTTTTGCAACTGAACATCAGCGTGGTAGTTAAATGCGGTTTATTTAATCTCTCCATTAAAACAAAAGTTGCAGTTCATCGTTTATAAATCTGCTCTCCCTGCAACCTTCTGAGATACACAAACATGGTGCTTATTGCCTGCTCCGGAGCCGGCTGAGCAGCCCAGTGGATGGACTGCATACAGACCCAGGTACTCACCTCTTGGGAGGCAGGTAGCTCTTTTCCCGGGTGGCTGCAAAAACAAGAGGTGGAATAAAAAAGACATGTAAGAGGCAGCCTGATGAATTACGTTCGTGCAGTAACCTGATCCTACAGACAAAATGTGGAGTGGTACCTTGCCAGTGATCCATGCAGGGGAGCCCAGGGGACAAGTTGTGTTGCTCCCAGCCCATGCCCACCTGCAAGTGTTCCAGGTGCCTGTTTAGGAGCATAATTGCTTGTGTGAGACTCTGACCTCACTGAGGACCAAGAATTCTGTAGGGCTCTCTCTCAATCTCTCACATCTATTGTAAGGCCCCATTTCATGCTCAATGCAGGCATGAAGGAATGAAAAGATTGCATGGACCAAACCCTCACTGGTGTGTCATGTGCTGCCAAGACTCTTGCCCTGTCTCACTTCTATCTTCACCATAATCCTATGATGGCGTATTCTTGCCCTTCTCCACCCGCTCCTGCCCTTCCTTCCCCAGCCCTTTTACACATCAAGGAAAGGAGGCTCAGAGGGCAGTAGCAGATTCTAAATGCAAATAGTGAATAGGGGAACTGGGATTCATCACACCCATTTATTGTAAAGACCCCACACTTTTTTCTGTGCTCTTTAGCATCAGTCTCTTTCAGAGAGAAGCTGTGAAGCCAAAATCAAAAAACAGGAGGTATAATGCAGCAGGCAGGGCACTTGCCTTGCATACAACTGACAGGGGTTCAATCCCTTACTCGCATGCAGAGCCAGGAGTAAGTAAGCCCTGAGCAATGACAGGTGTGGCACAAAACAAGAAAAGGAAGGGAGGAAGGAACGAAGAAAGGACAGAAGGAAGGAAGGAAGGAAGGAAGGAAGGAAGGAAGGAAGGGAGGGAGGGAGGGAGGGAGGGAGGGAGGGAGGAAGAGGGAGAGGAGGAGGGAGGGAGGGAGGGACAGAAGAGGAAGGAAGGATGGAAGGAAGGAAGAGAAGGAGGGAGAGAGGGAGGGAGGGAAGAAGGAAGGGAGGAGGGAGAGGGAAGGGAGGAAGGAGGAAGGAAGGGAGGGAGGGAGGAAGGAAGGAGGAATGAAGGGAAGGAGAGAGGGAGGGACGGAGGGAGAAAAGGAGGGAGAAAAGGAGAGAGGGAGGGAGGGAGGGAGGGAGGGAGGAAGGAAGGAAGGGAGGGAGGGAGGGAGGAAGGAAGGAAGGAAGGAAGGAAGGAAGGAAGGAAGGAAGGAAGAGAGGGAGGGAGGGAGAAAGGAAGGAAGGGAGGGAGGGAGGGAGGAAGGAAGGAAGGAAGGGAAGGCGAAGGGAGGGAGGAGGGAGGGAGGGAGGGAGGGAAGAAGGAAGGAAGGAAGGAAGGAAGGAAGGAAGGGAGGGAGGGAGGGAGGGAGGGAGGGAGGAGAAGAAAGGGAGGAAGGAGGAAGAGAGGGAGGGAGGGAGGGAGGGAGGGAGGGGGGAAGGGAGGGAGGGAGGGAGGGAGGAAAGAAGGAAGGAAGGAAGGGAGGGAGGGAGGGAGGAGAAGGAAGGGAGGAAGGAGGAAGAGAGGGAGGAAGAGAGGGAGGGAGTGAGGGGGGGAGAGAGGGAGGGAAGGGGGAGGGAGGGAAGGAGGGAGGGAGGGAGGAAGGAAGGAAGGAAGGAAGGAAGGAAGGAAGGAAGGAAGGAAGGAAGGGAGGGAGGGAGGGAGGGAGGGAGGGAGAGAGGGAGGAGAAGGAAGGGAGGAAGGAGGAAGAGAGGGAGGGAGTGAGTGAGGGAGGGAGGGAGGGAGGGAGGAAGAAGGAAGGAAGGAAGGAAGGAAGGAAGGAAGGAAGGAAGGAAGGAAGGAAGGAAACCACTCTTAGCTTCTCTGATGGAGGAGGTCATCTACCAGAGGTAGATGCATGCAGTGGTTCTCAAAGCGTGGATTCTGAGGAACTTATTTCAAAGGCAATTTCTCAGTCCTCAACACAGAGCAAATAAAATTCCGGGATGCCGAGGCATGTCAAAGTTTGAGAGCCACAGAGCTAAAGACATCTCACATGCTTGCTGCACCGCCCCATGAACAATAGGAGCTGCCTTCGGGCTCCTGCGCTGCCTCCCCTGGGGCCCAGGACTCCAGGAAAACAAATATTAGCTCAGCGCCACCAACATCCCACAGTGCATGTTCGCCTCATGTTTCATTAGAGCCAACGCAAGCGAAGGTGTTTCAAATGTCAACAGGACCAGACTTCGGGGAGGGCAGAGAGGGATGGCAATATTTAAAGAGCAGAAGATGACACGGCCCAGCACAGAATCACAGTTCCCAGGGTCCTGGCTGGGAAGGATCCGCAGGGGCTGGGCAGGGCAGGGGAGTTCCTTTCACTCACTGGAGGACCTGGAGGAGGTCAGGTCAAGTTCCCTCCGGACTGACTGTCCTGCTTGGCCCTCCCTCCCCCACGACAGAACCCCTGTGTGACAACTCAGGCATTGTGGAAACACAAGGACTCCTGCCTTCCTGCCTGTCATTTCGCATTCTCTTCCTCTTGGATGGATTCCCAGGGATCAGCTTGGAGCTTTCTGGAGAGCAGAGTGAGCCAGGAACAGGTTCCCACAGCCTGTATGTGACAGGCTAGCTGCCACAGTGGCAGGTGGAGATCATTGGTGCTAGATGTCCTGACCTCTGGTTGGTGGCGGCACCTGGGCTCAGTCATGCAGAAGGTCCAGCTGGGGGGTGGGAGGGGCTGCAGCCGCCCTTACCTTCCTTGGTGTCCTCAGACACAGCAGCTGGCTGACTCTGGAAGATCCGCAGCTTCACACTAGGGGGCTTCGTTGGCTTTGCAGGAGGGGGACCCAGGGATTCCACAGAAGGCAGTGGCCTGGTTCTGGGAAGCTGGTGTTTCCGGTCTTCCAGCTGTTTTTCTGTGCACAGAGAGTCTGAAAACACAAACTATGGTCATTGCCTTTGCATGGCCTGTGAAAGGGACCAACTTGTCTGCATCAGGCTCCTTCTCCTGCCATTCCACCATTACTCTTACCCGGAAGCCACGCTGTCTCCCCGACCAACAAATAACTTGGGTCATGTCCCTGTCCTACTGCCCAGAGACTGAAGTTGAGGCCCCCAGGCATGACAGCTGGCCACTCTGGAGGGGAGCAGAAATCTGCTATTCCCTTTACTGCCCACCCCCCCTTGGATGATCTTAGGCAAAGATTTTCACAAAATCTTTGAAGAGGGTAGGAAGTCCAGATGGAGAATTCGTTCAAGAACCATGGGGACTGGGGCTGGAGTGATAGCACTGTGGGTAGGGTGTTTGCCTTGCATGCAGCTGACCCGGGTTCAATTCCCAGCATCCCATATGGTCCCCCAAGCACCGCCAGTAGTAATTCCTGAGTGCATGAGCCAGGACTAACCCCTGTGCAACGCCAGGTGTGACCCAAAAAGATAAAAAAAAAAAACATGGGGACCATACAAAGGAGAGCTCTCTTTGGGAGTGTCTTCCTTACTGTAAATGGGAAAAATCTTCCCCTTCACTTTCCAAAGAAGCAATGCTTTTTGGCATTTTTTGGCAGTTGTGCTCAAGGCTTACTTCTGGCTCTGTGCTCCAGATCACTCCTGGTGGGCTGAGGGAACCATATAGGGTGCCAGGGATCAAACCTGGGTTGGCCAAGGTTTGGTGCAAGACAAGTGCTCTTACCGGCTTTACTATCACTCTGGCCCAAACTACTGTGTCGGGGCCTTTCTTGGTTTATCTCCTCATTGGCCTTCCCTAGTCTTCCCCAACCTATGCCTTTAGTGTCTGAAACCATAGTGGCAGTTCTCAGCTTTGCCAGGGGCACCCAGGTGGAGAGGGGTACACACACGGTTATTTGCACACCCACCTCCTGATTATTTATTTTCCCAGCCTCTGAAGAACCCAGTAGGTATGGGATGATTTCTTTTTCACCCAACCACTCTCTCCCTTGACACTGAAATCCCACGTGGACCCAATCTTCATTTCCAGATGTTTCTTTCGCCACATGTCGCAGCCTGAACACTTCACTCATACCACTGATGAATTCTTCTCGGTTTTCCAAATTGTGTCTATGGCCAAGATTTTATTCATGCCATTTCTAGTACTGGAATGCTATCCCTTCATTCCTCTCTTGATCTGACCTACTCTTTACAGTTTCGGTCCAGTGATACAACCTCTAAGATGCTTTCCCTGATGCAACCACAACAGAATCAACCACAACAGAATCCACCAGTGTCTGTTTTGTATCCCTGTAGCACATGGTCAGCACCACTCTGCCAGGGCAGGAGTGTGGCAGAGGGATGTTGTCTTTCCCGTGAGTGCAGCCAGATCCTGCTGGGCAGGACCTAGTCCACTCTACCCTCCTCCCAGCATGGAGATCACAAGTCAGGGGCAAGGATGATGTCTATTTCCTGGAAGGGTTTTTCAAGTCCCCAGGAAGCACAAATGACTTTGCGGTGTGAAGAGAAGGAAGAATGAAGATTGTAATCTCTAAGATTGCAAATAACAAAATAGAACTATATATACCAAGCACCTCCACTTCCCTTTCACATAACAGAGTGGCTGAATAGTTGTGATAAGCAAAGAAATTAGGAATCATTTATGTTAAGTTTTGCCAAGACTTAATCCCTGACCTCACTACAGTGGTAACTATTCCCTGAGGTGGATTTTTAAACCAAACCAATTAATCTGGAACTTCATCTGCAGAATTGAGATAATCTGCATGATAAGATTTCCAGATCTTCCCCCAAGGAAGGTGACTGGCTTCAAATAATCTTTTCCTTTTTTTGTAAATAGTTTTGAACTGTCCTCTTTCTACTATAAACATTTCCCTTTTGGTACTCTTAGGCTCTCTTGCTTTAGACGGAATGCTGCCAATTGACAAATCTTTTCATACAAGTCCATTCAACCTTCAAATATGTTCTGATAAATTAGTTTTAAACACCAGTAAAAAGGAAGAACTTGGCTGGTGTTTCACAAATCCCTTATCTGTGTGAAGCTTGTGCAGCTACCTCAAGCTTTGCTGTCTCATTCTAGCTGAGTGAGGGAGTCCTGGCCCCATCTGTAGAGCCGACGTCAGCCAGGTCAATGGTCCTTTCTGCTCAGGCTTTACTTATGCCATGATGTCCCAAATTTGTCTTTACCAAATTAGTTATTCGTCGATTGCCTCGAGTAGGCCCCAGTAACGTCTCCTTCATCCTAGTCTTGAGATTTTTAAGAAAGTGCTATATTCAAGGCTCTTTAGGAGAATGAGACCCATCATTGTTACTGATATTTGGCATATTGGGTACACCACAGGGAGTTTGCCAGACTCTGCCATGTGGGCAGGTTACATTCGGTAGCCTGCCAGTTTGACCAAAGTAGGAATGAGATAATAAGATGTCATAATAAGATGCCGCGGCCACGCGGTTCTGGGAGCTGGTTTTTATAGTCTCTGAGTCTTGGCCGTTGGGATTACATGGCACCAGGGGGCCAGTTGTTGGGTGTAACCCCCGCCTACTAGAATTCGGAGGATCTGGGTGGAGGATGATCAGCCCCGATCTGAGTAGGCTTGGAGATCTTAGCCCTGGGACCCGCTTGCCTTTGTTCCTCTGCTGGTAGCTTCAGGTGTGCAGAGAGTGGTCTCAGCATGGTGGTGGCTGGTCCTGGAGGTCTTCGGCTGCCGGAGCCCTGGTCAGGGCAGGGAGGAAAGCTCAACCCGCTCCCCTCCAAGGGGCCCCGGCGAGGATAGCCAGGCACGAGGGCAGGAGACTGCACTGTTCTCTTCCGGGAGCTGGTTTTTATAGTCTCTGAGTCTTGGCTGTTGATGGGATTACACGGCGCCAGGGCTCCGGCAGCCGAAGACCTCCAGGACCAGCCACCACCATGCTGAGACCACTCTCCGCACACCTGAAGCTACCAGCAGAGGAACAAAGGCAAGCGAGTCCCGGGGCTAAGATCTCCAAGCCTACTCGGATCGGGGCTGAGCATCCTTCACCCAGATCCTCCGAATTCCAGTAGGCGGGGGTCACACCCACTAACTGACCAAATTAGTAAACAGGAATAAAACAGAAAGGCTCGGCTCCTAATTTCTGTCAGGCACTAGGCTGAGTCATTCAGTTGGCTTCTCTCATAAACTGATCATCAGTGTCACCAGGCAGATAAGCTTGCCTTCTCTCTACCTCTCCATCTTGCCTCCCACTCATCTTTTCTTCCTTCTCATCCCCTCATTAATAACTCCCTATCTACTATGTAAGAGGCAGTGTTCTAGGTGCTGAGATAGAGTTAAGAACAAAAGAGCTAAGTGAGATAGCTCAGTGGTTGACACATACATCATTTGAATGAGACCCTGGATTCATCTATGGTGCCCCAAACACAGAAACAAAAGATAAGAACAGGAAGAGAAATGTCCTCAGGAATTTTCACAGTAGCAGACTAACACAAAGAAAGAACTAAACTAGTTACAGATATTTAAGAGTTCTAAGAAGAATAAAGACAGGCTAGGATAAAATTGAAGAAATAATAAAAATAGGAGAAAGGCAAACAATTGATAGTAAAGAAAATAGTGTAATAATCACTTTACTATCAGGAGAGAGAAGAAAATGGCCATCTGGAAGAGTATCATTTGAAAATAGGATTTTTAGGATGAAGGAACTATAAACCTGAGGAATAACAACATCTATTCCACAAGAAATCCGAAATCCAGTTGGTGACTCTGGGCTAGTGAGTAGGGCAAAGAGGCAGAAACATAAATTGGGACTAGAATTAGGAGAGGCATGAAACCAACATGAAATGTCTCAGATGTTATTCTCAGCACAAATGGAAGTGATATGCACTTTTTTTCCCTCCAAGAGATCCAGTCACCCACTCACTGATTTATCCAACTATTCAATAGATTTGGAGAATATACTGAATCTGATCTTGTTTTTCTAGACACTAGGGATAAAGGAGAATGTTTCTATGCTTCCATAACTTATAGTATTTTATTCGGGTCCCAACATATAACAATTTAGTTTGGGGGAAGAATATGTAAAAAAAAGCAAAGGAAGGAAATAGCAACTGGCAGTTGTAATGGCTATTTAGGTAGCATGATCCTTATGGTCCCTTCAACAGCAGGTGACACTGAGCAGAGACAGTGAGACAGCAGAGTGTCTAGGGAAAGAGTGTTCCAGGCAGAGAAATAAGCAAGTGCAAAGGCATGGGGGTGATACCAGTTTGGTAGAGCTAAGGGATAGTAAGAAGATGGGTCTTTGAAAGAGGAAAGTGTCAGAGAAGTGGGCAAGGACCAAATCATGAGTGCTATAAAAAAAAACTGGAGTTAAATTGAGCTTGGAAGTGATAACCTTTGATTTTGATGATCATGGTGCCTGTTGGGATATAAGGGGACTGGATTGTGTGATGAGTTCTCAGGGTTAGTGCTGGGCTGTACCATGGCCCAGAAGAGCAACAATGATAGTGTGGATAAGAGCAGAGGGCATGAAGGGACAGAAGTTTCAAAGAAGCAGAAGATATTTTGAGGGAGGACCAAATTTTGCCCATGAATTAAGTACAAAAAATGAGGGGGAGAGAGAGGAATACAGCAACTCCTAGGCTTTTTGTACTAAGCAATAGGAGGATGACTGTGGTGTTCGCCAGAACTGGGAAGATGCACCCACAGAGTTAAGTAGAGGCCAGAATGATAGTAGAGCAGGTAACTGGTGTTGCACAAGGCCAACCCAGATTTAAATCCCAGCATCCTACATGGCCCCCCAAGCCTTCCAGGGTTTATTCCTGAGTACAGAGCCAGAAATAACCCCTAGTCATTGTCAGGCGTGGCCCCAAAATAAAACAAAACAAAAAAGAGTTAAGTAAATTGCCAGAGTTCATACATCTCAGAAGTAGAGACCTGGAAAACTCACATTGCAGTCTGGAGCAAACATTACCTGGTGACCAACCCAAAGCAGCAGACTCTAAATTAGACAAAAATGCCCTTCCCTCAGACCTGTGAGAGCTTTCTTTCTTACCTGGGGCCTGGCTAGTGAGCTCACTGTCATAGACAGGCTGGTTGGTGCTCTCTCCTGTGCACTTCTCAGGACTGGGCTCCTCCAGTGTCTGCTTGTCATGAAGAGAAGGCAGAAGAGCGAGGCCTTCAGAGGAGGAGGTGAGTAATTTCTCTTTCCTTCGAGAAGGAAGAGTCTTGGCCTGTGGCACTTGTAGACTTCCCCTGGGCTTCTCTGCACTAAGCCTCCTGTTTTCCTGTACTTCCAGATGGAAGGCCCGCCTTCTATTATTGTAAGGAAGAAAGGTGGGTGGTGCCTCACTTTTCTGAGATGAAGCCATCTCCCAGTTCCAGAGTTTGTCCTGGAAGCTATTGGCAGCCATTGCTTTCTTCATGGCGGCTTTCTCAGCACTTGGCCCATTCATGTCAAATGGTGCATTTACTGCTGGAGTAGACACTTCAGGAGGTCCTGGAGAATTAGAACATTTCTTAATTTCACTCCTCTTAGCCATTTTCTGGATTTTAAGATCCTGGGGTTCTATGCTAGAACAGTAGGCCAGGAACTGAGGGTGGTTAGTTGGGAAGAGTTTCCCATTGGTCAAAATCCCTGTGGACTGCATGACTCGATTGTTTCCCTTTGGAGAAACACTTGCTTGGAATTTATTATGTCCTGGAAGTGATGGTGCATTAAGATTCTGAAATTTGGCTCGAAGCTCCTGGAAGTTTCTTAATCCTTCCTAAGGAAAAACAAGAAAACAAACATGTCGTTATCCCAGAGAGAAAGTAGCCTGATGAGCTGATTGTGTGTGTGTGTGTGTGTGTGTGTGTGTGTGTGTGTGTGTGTATGTTAAGTGTTAACATTAACAGGTGACACCATTACCAACAAGACACAAAATTTTGAAGCCTTCTTGCTGTCCAAACAAGAATGTTCTGAACTCCTCTATGGAATTCATGGCTCTTCATAACATGGTGGGCTTATGATTTCCGAGAGAGTGGAACCATCATCTCTAGCCATCCCAACACAATTACCCTTGTAGCAAAAAGATAAAAGAGATTTACAGTTTTCTTAGAAATTGTATGCTTTCCACTACCTGACTTTGCTTGTTCTCATTTCACAAACCTAACCCCATCCCAATCTACTTTGCCAAATGCTGTCTTGCAACTCCACTGCCCACTTTCTCCATAACGATTTCTCCGGGTTCTGACAGGTCCTAACTTTTGCCCCATCTCGTTGGGGCTCCCATAGCTCCTTTCAACTTAGCTGCTGAACTTCATACCACAGAGCAGATCAAAAAGCAACTTTTGGAAGTAGGTGGTGAAGATTCTTACTCTGCTCTATCATCTAGGCAAATGGAGACAAAGGAAGCTTTCCCAAAGTACACTCTGATTATAAAAGTGAGTTATAGAGCTGGAACAATATACAGTGGGGGGGGCATTTGCCTTGCACGCAGCCTACCAGGGTTCAATTGCCAGCATCCCATATGGTCCCCTGAGCACTGCCAGGAGTAATTCCTAAGTACAAAGTCAGGAGTAACCCCTGTCATTACCGGGTGTGACCCAGAAAGAAAAAAAAGTTGAGTTATCAAGTGGTAAGTAGAGCTGGGCTACCATGTGTGGAACATCCACCACTGGGCCTCACGTACAGTGAACCCCTGATGAATGAAGGTTCTGAGCCTTTCAGAGTTATTGACTCCCTGTGGGACACTGTGATCTTCCTCTGAGACTCAGAACAAATTTGGCAGTGAAAATGGTGGTAGAGCAGCCCAAGTCTTAGGACAAAGGAAGGGATGTTTTCAGAATGATGATGCAGTGAGGTTGCCAAAACAAGTCATATTTTGCTTGACTCTTACTTTCTGCTTTTCCTAGCATTCTTCCTTTCTTTCACTACATCTTTCATTTTGAAGTGGGTATTTTCATCTTTGGCCACATACACCATTGTGAGCTCTCTCCACCTGTTGTTAGAGGCTAACTTTTTAGATTTCCACTAGCAAAAAGGTCAGTGAACATCAGTTCCTCTTCCCTACGGGGAGAAGCTAGTGGTGGGCAGGGAAAGGAGTCCTTCTAGGAAGTAGGCAGGGTGGGGGAACATAGAATGGGATTGTCTCAAAATGCCAGATCCACTACCTTCTGATCATTTTGAAGGATCCAACAGTTTCATGTCTACAGACATGTAGTCACTTCTCATCTGGCCCATGGAAGGAATACTGGGTGACCTTTTCTCTTTGTTTATAGTTGACTCACACCTGCTAGCTGACAGTATAGGAGGGGAACGGAAGTAGAGGAAGCAGATGTCTGGGAATTTTCTTGCCTGCTCTCTCTAGTCCCCTCTCTTTGTCTCTCCATCACACAAACATTCACACTCATTCACTGAAAGCTCTCTCCACATGCTACGAGAAGCTACCTTCTATTCCAGCCAGCAGACATGCTCAGAAAGCATTTTCTGTCGGGGTGGAAGAAGCTAGCCCTGGCCACAGAATCAGGAGATAGGGTGAGGCTCAGGGTCACAGTTTTCTAGTGACATGTCTGGGACAACTAATTTACCTCACGATTTTCCTCTCTATAATTTTATTTTTGTTCAAACCACTCATGAGTGTCATAAGGATTAAACCAGACAGCTGACAAACACATGATATATCTCAGTGTTTAATATTTTTGCTATTATGATGAAACAGTCATAACTGAAAACTTATGTTCAGGAGTGTTAATTAAGTACTTTCATATTGTTGTGAATGTCAAGAACTTTTAAAAAATTTTAAAAAGCCAAAACATTATTTACCCCATCAAATAATAATACTGCATTCTCCCTTCCTCTCAGCTACTGCAATGCCCGTTCTAATGAATTTCTACTCTAGTAACTCACAGGAGTGGAATTCACAGAACATTTGTGCCTGGCTCATTTCAGTGAGTACATTGTCCTCAAGGTCCATCATGTTGTAGCATGGGTCAGGCATGACCTTCCCTTTTAAAGCAAAATAATACTCCTTTGACAATGCCCCATTTGGTTTATTTAGTCATTGTTGACAGAGTATTGCTCCTGTTCAACTGTTATGAATAACGCTCCTATGAGCATGGGTATACAGGTATCTCTTGGGAGACCCTGCTTTTAATTCTTTTGAGTGTATATCCTAGAATTGCAGCTGCTCCTCTACTTTAATTTTATGAAGAACCACCATACTGTTTGCCATAACAGATGCATCATTTTACTCTTCAGCTAACAATGTTCAGAGGTTCCAGTTTCCCCACATGCTAAAACACTTGCTCTTTGGTGCTTCCGGTTTTTTTTTTTTGGAGTGTTTTTGTTTGGTTTTGATTAGCAATCACTGAGATATAAGTGGGCATTGGTTAATTAGTTACAAAACTAAAATTATTTTTTCACTATTTGGGACCACTTGAACTTTAAGGGTTTAAGAGATGATATATAATAGGTAAGGTGCTTGCCTCACATGTGGCTGACTGGGTTCAATCCCCAGCACATCATACATCATATGGTCCTCAAAGCCCACCAGGAGTGATCCATGAGCACAAAACCAGGAGTAAGACCTTAATAATGTTGAATATAGCTCCCAAATAATGTTATTATTACTTGTAAATAATAAACTTAAGTTTTACTCTCTGGAGTGATAGCACAGCGGTAGGGCGTTTGCCTTGCATGCAGCCAATATGGCCGACACAAGTTCAATCCCTCCGCCCTTCTCGGAGATCCCGGCAAGCTACCCGTGATGAATTCGAAATGCCAAACACAGTAACAACAAAGTCTCCGATGGAGACGTTACTGGGCCCGCTCGAGAAAATCAATGAACAACGGGAGGACAGTGACAGTGAAAGTTTTACTCTCTAGTAGTACTAATTAGCAGGAAATAAAATTATGAACTGATAACCTAAAAATCAAGGCCCTGTGCAAAGATCTTGGGTTGTGTATGAAGAAAACCCAATAATTCTGACTCTTTCCTCTTTCAACAAATGTTCACTACATATATTCTTGGTATCAAACACTATTTTAAGGTCTGGAGAAATAATACAGTGGGTAGGATACTTGCTTGCATGTGACTGACCTGGGTTCAATTCCTAGCACTTCATATGGTTCCCCCTCCCTACCCCCAAGCCCACAAGGAATGATCCCTGAGCACAGAGCCAGGAGTAAGCCCTGAGAACTACTGGGTGTACCTGTACCCCCACTCCCGTAATTTTTCTTAAACTCATTATTTTAGAGATTCAAGGACTCTGCCCTGAAATGCTACATTTCAGTGTCAGAGAAAAGAAAACAAGGCCTCTTCTAATTCCAATACTAGCATTTTATTTCCCCTTGCTAATGAAATAATAATAAGTTAAATAAAAATAAAATAATAATAATCTTGACAGTTATTATTCATCTCCTAGCTGATGGGAGATAAGAATTGAGGGCAAACAGCCCCAGAAGCACAAGGACTTAATGCAGAACCCAGAAGCTTGGAGCAGAAAAGTGAACGGATTATGCGTTAATCCAGGCCATCAAGTCTGCCGGAGGGGAAAGGCTGTTGCTCCCTTCCGCCCTCCTCCCTCTGGAAAGAAAGATGGCGGCCACATGGGAGCCTTGCGGACAGCAGGTATGAGCCGGGGGAGTGGGGGCGACTAAAACCTCATGGGAAGGGGGGTGTTCCGGTCCGTCCTTCACGCCCTACCGAGGTCACCAGTTGCCCCCTGCGAGCGGCTCTCCAGCACATCCACGGCCCCAGAAGCACAAGGACTTAATGCAGAACCCGGCAGCTTGGAGCAGAAAAGTGAACGGACTATGCGTTAATCCAGGCCATCAAGTCTGTCGGAGGGGAAAGGGTGTTGCCCCATTCGCCCTCTCTTCTCTGGAAAGAAGGATGGCGGCCGCATGGGAGCCTTGTGGACAGCAGGTATGAGCCGGGGGTGTGGGGGCGACTAAAACCTCATGGGAAGGGGGGCGTTTCGGTCCGCCCTTCACTCCCTACCGAGGCCACCAGTTGCCCCCCACGAGCGGCTCTCCAGCACGGCCACGACTCCAGAACACAGAAACCAATTTCTTAACTATCTGGCTTTCAGTAGAAATACTTCCAGGGTCAATAGGTAAAATAGCAGAAATCCAAAACCAACATTTAATTCTTGAACCCAGCTGTAGAAAGCAAATCACTTCACAATGCTTTTTCAGCATGTCTGATTTGGGGGGGGGGGTAAACTCTAAATAATAGTGGTGAATCTTTTATTGAAACAGTGAATCTAATCAAAGCAGATAGAGTGTTAACTAGAATTCATCTGCCTCACAGGGACTGGGAGTGGTGGGGGTGGGGTTTTATTGGGGTTCCCCATGGTAAAAAAATAAGTATTGGTAAAGGGAAATGTGTTTGATATTTGCATGACTGAGACCTAAACCTGAAAGCTTTGTAACCTTTCCCACAGTGATTCAATAAATAAATATTAAAAAAAAAAGAATTGAGGGCAAAAGGCAAGTTGTGTGAGGATGGTGGCCATGAGGGATCCAGGTACCATTGCCCTCTATCTT